GTGAATGAGTATTGCCTTCGCCAGCTCAGACAAGCTCTGTCCCCCACCCACCCACCGAGGGCTGCTGTGAGGACCTGCTGCCTGAAGAACTTCCTATAGCAGTTCTTACAGTGAGAGCCCTTTGATGAGAAATCACCACAGCTGTCATTCATCTGAAAATGTCTTCATTTCTCCCTCATTTAAAAATATTTTTACTGTACATAGATTTCTTAGTTGGCTTTTCTTTTAAAAAAAATTTTTGTATTGATTTCAGAGAGGAAAGGAGAGGGAGGGAGAGAGAAACATCAATGATGAGAGAAAATCATTGATTGGAACCATTGATTGGATGCCCCACACTGGGGATCCAGCCTGCAACCCCGGCATGTGCCCTGACCGGGAATCACTGTGACCTCCTGGTTCATAGTTGACGCTCAACCACGGAGCAATGCTGGCTAGGCACTTTTCTTTTCTGCACCTAAATTTTGTTTCATTGATTTTGATCTATGCAATGTGTCCTTATTTCTCTGGCAGCTTTCAAGGTTTTCTCTTTATCTTTGGTTTTTAAGAGTTAGACTATGACATGCCTAGGTGTGTTTTCTTCATGCTTAATACTGCTTGGGATTTGCTGAGATTCTTGGATCTGTAATTGATCCAAAATTCAAGAACTTTTATGTCATTATTTCTTCAAAATTTTTTTTCTGCACCATTCTCTTTTCTTTACAGGCATCATTATATTAGACTTTCTAATATGGTTTGTCAGGTTCACATTACCTGTAGCTTTACTCTCATATTCTTTTGATCGGATAATTATTTTTAAATGTGTCTTCAAGTTCCTTGACCCTTTCTTCTGCCATCTCCAATTTGCACTTAAGATCAGTTAAAGTCCACCCAGTTACCTTTACATTTGTTGTTGTATTTTTTTGGGTCTAGAATTTTCATTTGGTTGTCTTTTATAGTTTCCATTTCTCTGTTTAAATTCCCTCTGTTCATTCATTATGACCACTTTTTCCTTTGAGTACTTCAACATATTTATAGCTGTTACAGAGCCTACAAGCATTAAAAAGATAATAAAGCAATATTATGAACAAATTTAATTCAATACATTTGGCAGATTCCTTTACTTTTACAAGAAGAAGTAGAAAATACGAACAGCTGTACATCTCTTAAAGGAATTAAGTTCTTTATTAAAAGTATCCCATAAGGAAGACTCCAAGCCTAGATGTTTTCACTGATGAATTTTAGCAAACACGTAAGGAAAAAATAATGCCACCCCTACACCAGTTATTTCAGAAAGTAGAGGAGAAAAACCACTTCCCAAGTCAGTTTATCAGGCCAGTGCTCGAACCTAGCCATACATGCAAAGAATTCATTATGGCCAAGTGGGGTTTATCCCAGGAATGCGAGTGGTTTTACGTTCAACATTCAATCCTTGTAATTTGTCACATTAACAGAATGAACAAAAATATTGTGATCATGGCAGAGATGGAGTAAAAGCATTTGACCAAATTCAACACCCATTTATAAAAAAACAAAACTTCTGCAAACTAGGACTCAAAGGAAACTCCCTTAACTGAATAAAAAGGCATTTATGAAAAACACTGATAGCTAACACCAAACTTCAGAGTGAAAGATCAAACACTCCTAACATTTGGAATAGGTCAAGGATGCCTACTCCTACCACTTTTCTGAAAGTTTTGGCCACTGCAACAGGCCAAAAAAAAAAAGACATACTAGCTATGTGCATGTATATATATAGTAATAAAAGCGTAATATGCTAATTAGACCAGACGTCCTTCTGGACAAAGCTAGGGCTGTGAGGGAAGCCCGGGTCCCGGATGCCTGCCGGCAGCTGGAGAGAAGCCTGGGTCCCGGGTGCAGGAGGGAAGCCCAGGTCCCGGGTGCCAGAGGGAAGCCGGTGTTGGCAGCCGAGGGAAGGAAGGCCTACTCTTGCACGAATTTTGTGCATCGGGCCTTTAGTATATACATATATATGTATGTATACATATTCTATATAGATATACAAATGTTATATATATAAGGAAGAAGGACAATTGTCTTTATTTGTAGATGGTTGTGTATGTAGAAAAGCTTAAGCAATCTATAAAACAACTACTAGAAATACTAAGTGAATTTAGCAAGAGCATAAGATAAAATGTCAATTCTATTTTTATATACTAGCAAAGAACAACTGGAAAATAAAAATATTTTAAATACTATTTACAATAGTATCTAAACCCTTAAAATGTTTAGAGATAAATTCAACAAAATCAATTTTTAAAAATCTTAATAAAAAAAGCAGAAGAGAACAAATGATTGTGAGGGTTTGGAGAAATTAGAAACTGCATTGCTGTTGGGATGCAGCTGCTGTGGAAAAGTTTGGTAGTTCCTCAAAAAGTTAAATGTAGGGTTACCATATGATTCAGCAATTCCACTTCTGTGTATATACCTAAAAAAAGTGAAAGCAGGTACTCAGATATTTGTACATCCATGTTCATAACATCATTAGTCACAGTAGCCAAAAGATGGAAGCAACCCAAGTGTCCATTAACAGATAAGTGGATAAACAAAATGTATCTATATATAAAAGCCCAAGCGACCAATTGACTGGTCAACTGGTCACTATGACATGCACTGATCACCAGGGGGCAGACACTCAATGCAAGAGCTGCTCCCTGGTAGTCAGCGAGTTCACATAGCCAACCTCCTACGGCTGGCCAACCTCCCATGGTCCCTCTCCTCCCAGCTGGCCCCCCAATCGGCCCTGATGGGGGGGCCAGCTGGCCAACCTCCCACGGTCCCTCCCCTAGCTGGCCGTCCACCCCCCCATCAGTTCCGATCTCAGGCCAGGCTGAGGGACTTCACCTGTGCACGAATTCGTGCACCGAGCCTCTAGTGTACACATAATGGAATATTATTCAGCCTTAAAAAGACACAAAATTCTGATAGATGCTACAACATGGATGAACCTTTAAAACTATTCTAGTCCTGGCCAGAGTGGTTCACTTGGTTGAAGCATCATCCCATACACTGAAAGATCGTGGGTTCAATTCCCCATCAGAGCATATACCTAGTTTGCAGGTTCAATCCCTGGTTGGGAAGTGTACCAGTATGTGAGGCAACCAATCAATGTGTCTCTCTCACACCGATCTCTCTCTCTCTCAAGTCAATAAACAAATTCTCAGGTGAGGATTAAAAGCAACACTATTCTAAGTGAAATGACAATGTGTGATTCCACTTATTCAAGGTACCTAGAATAGGCAAGTTAATATAGTCAAGTAGAATAGCGGCTGCGGAAAGAGGTGATGTTGAGGAATTAAGTGTTTAATGGGGGCAGATTTTCTGTTTGGGGTGTTGAAGTTCTAGAGCTGGTAAGCCGTGAAGGGCTGCACAACAATGTGAATGTAATTAGTGCCACTGAGCCTACAAATGGTTACAATGTTAAATACCATGTGTTATATATTTTACCACAATTTAAATATATATATTTAGATGGCCTGAGTTGGGGAAAACGCAATTTGGACCTAAACAGTTGTTTTCTGATGGCCTGGCCCGGCTGAATGAGTCTTTTACACAAGCCTGCGATGGGCCGAGTTGGCCTTAGCTGCCTGGTGCCGGAGGTAAGCCACATTGTCGGAAACTCCCCCTCTCCTTGGAGGCAGGAAGTTTAAATTATCAGGTCAATTAGGAAAGATACAACCGAAAAATACAAGTTTCATTCACGCTTCAAGGAGGCGTTTCCTGGCCGGGTGCCACTTTTATTATTTTTGGCGGAGGCTGCTGAAAGCCCCACAGACCGGGCGAAGGTACAATGTGATCTTTGATTTGCGTTTCAAAGATCAAAGAGAGTGAGTCTGGGTGTCAATGCAGATAACGTTTCAGAGAGCCTTTCATGAAAGGAGTCACTAGACCAGGGCAGAAAGGGAGCTGATGTGTTGCGTGTGTTCGCCTTGAGAAAACTCATTTTCCAGTGCATTCGGCGGTCCGTGGCCCCAGGAACCCCTGGCCTGCATCCAGGTCCTTGGCCCACGGGACCTTAGGTCCTTGCGCTGGGGGCGGGCATCTTCTCCCACCTCTGGTCTAGGCACCGTGAGGGGGCGGGGGGAGGCATGGGCTGTGCCCGCGGGGAGCCCCCAGGCCCGTCCTCCACCGGCTTTTCCCATGTCCCTGGGTGCTGACGGGCACGCCACTCCGGGGCTGCCTTGGCAGCCTGCCCTCATTGTCCTCTGTGGGGCCGGCCTCGGCTGGGGAAGAGCAGCATAAACCCACCAACCATGAGAAACCCACAGGCCTCGCCTGCCAGCCCGCAGGTGGAGAGTGCTTGGGGCCGAGCTGCCCGCCCTCTCGCTCTGCGGCCGGAGGTTTGCAGGACCAGGCCCTTTAAACTCGGGGCACTGGATGGCGAGAGGAGCTTTGCAGAGGAGCGCTGCGGCCCCTCTTCGCCCAAACCCGCCCAGATGCCCGCAGCTCCCAGTGCCCCGCTGACTCGAGGCGGTAAACCCGGGCTCCGGCGGCATCAACAACGGCGTCTCTGCGGGAGCCAGGGGGGCGCCGGGGCCCACCCCCTG